GTTACAAAGTTGTGTCTTTACAAGAGTCAAACCCATGTATCAAATTATTGTAAATTTAAGCTGAGCACAGATATAGAAAAGAGCCCTGGCCCTCGCCCAGTGTATGTTGATGCCAGCGAAACAGTAGCAGCACCATATAGCCGAGGTAATGAGTTGGTATTTGAACGAAATGCTAGACAACAATGTGTTGCAATGAGTTTGTGCTACTAGATTTACAACAACAAACAAGGAGTCAGTTTTGCGAATGACCTCAGTCAAATAATGAATATTGGAAATCCGGATGTATTTAAATTTGTCTCAATTAGCCAGACAGTCCTATTTAATGCAGATAGATTTACTTACAATGTTAAATGCGCTTGATACTGGTACTGTACATCAGGAGGCTGAAATAGACGGATAGCAGTACTGTACCTCTTTACAAAGAGCCTTTGAATCACTATTATCTCAAAACTAAACTGATTTTACATTAACTGTGGGAGTTATTAGTGTTTCTATTTCTTGTCAGTAATGTTGATATGGGTTCAAAATATTTGATTCTCATGCAAGGGATGTATATGGTAGAGGCCCTCCTGAAGGTACATGTGTGCTTCTTGCAACATTATTGCTAGATTAGTATGTTAATTTCAGAGGATACATAACGATGATATATTTGAGGTGAAGGGGGTACACATTAATGAAGTTCAAAATGGCATAGTACTTCCTCTGAACAATGTACATGAGAGCATAAATTTCAATCTAAGTTGTGTTGTGGTCATCTATTTTCTCTGTTACTCTTTAATTAAATCATGTAGTTATTGGAGTTGAAACACTTAAGTTTCTGTTGTAGACAATAGCAAAAGACTGTGTGACAATGTATGTTTAAATGGGTGTAATCATCATTTGATCTATCCAAAGCTGTTGTCTGTTTGTGGAGCTGAGTTTTAATGTTTTCAGTGATAACAAGGAAGGACTATTGTGTGATTGACTTGAAAGCAAATCAATCTTGAAAATGCTCTATTAAACAATAGTGAATGCACAGAATTTTTGATGTGGCTTTCCTGCTATCCTATCAGTTGTATCTATAAACCTTAACATAAGTCAAAATAGATGTATTCCCTACTGGTTTTTAATGAAAATCACATACAACCAATTCAGTATACTTAGAACATAAATAGTACAGCTTCACTTGTTGAGGCAATTAGCTGTATTTAAAAGAAATACAAGTCTGCAGGTCATTACAAAATACAATTTGTATCATGTTCATGTGCAAATGTTGACAGAAATGAAAGGAAATGAATGATGAAAACTCAAAGACAAAAACATGACTATGAAGCAATGGAACCATCAAGAGAATATTATTACAAAAGAAAAAAGTAAGGGATTTGACAAAAAACAATGGATACTGCTAAGAAACAAGATCTGCTAAACAAAAAAGCAGAACAACACAAAACAACGGATACCACTAAGAAGCAAAAACTTCTTGAGAAATGAAAAAAGGAATACAGCTACCATAGTAGCAAGACAGTCATTTCACGTGTTGAACAGTTTTAAAAGAAAACGATGGAAGGTCCATTAAATATATGTTGTGTATGTAATAGAACACTTTATAAAAAAATCTGTCTTAAAATTGAACACAAGAAGCTACCTGCCTCGAGATATTTTTAAAATACAATCATCATATGATTGAAAAGAATATATCTGCCAGACCTGTCACTCAGAAACCATACAATGAAAAATTCCATGTCAGGCAATTGTGAACAATTTTAATGTTAATTATGTACCAACTGAGATTGGAAATCTTAAAAAACTGGAACAAATGATAATTGCACGGCACATTGTATTTGATAAAGTAATAGTTATGCCAAAAGGGCGATAAATAAAAATTAAAGGTACTATATGTAATGTATTGGTAAACTGCGAGAAAACATGTCATGAATTGCCTCGTCCTCCTGAACGACCTGGTATAATTCTCCTTTCATAGCTGTATATCAAGTGACACACAGTTGTCGCAGTTTTGTCATTAACATTAGGCAACGGACATAATCTATGTTTAAACATAACAATGGTACAATGCCCTCACCAAACAGATCGTCCCAGTAGGGTACGTACCTCGCACCAATCCGACTACCGTATAAGGGTATGTATCTCGCGCCAATCAGATTGCCGCATTAGGGTATGTATCTCCCCCCTATCATTTCACAGCATTTGGCTATCTTGCACTAATCGCAAGGAATGGGAATTGTTTTCTTGCATATTATGTCAAGGAATCAGGGGGCTATGCACAAAAAAATTACATTAACCAGAAATTTTGGGTTAATTTGATAAGAGTAATGGTTTGTGGCCTTTGCGAAATTAAGGCCGAGATTTATCGAGGGTCCAACATAAGTTTGGCAGGATGCGAGACGAGGCTTAAAATCGAGGCGAGATTTGGGATACGAGAAATTTTAAATGCGGGATGAAAGTAGGAAGACGTAACCGGGATATGACCCATTTCGAAGACGGGATAGGGGATATGACGGGTACAGGCGGGATCATAACATAATTTAGCTCAAGTTGCGCGTCATGCGATATTAGTGACATTAAAAAGTATTTTTTTGATTCAGAAACGAGCTTAATTATTGCTTCCGTGAAAATTGGAGTTGATAGACCTTAATGACTCCCTAGTATCTCCAGTCTTCTCTGTATTTATTATATGTGTTTACACGGCTCCATAGTATGTCTGGTTTTTTTGCCATCGTTTTAATTTTGCTCTCACGAGTATGTCTTTGAGTGAATCCCCTTTCTGTACGATATTATGGGCGGTTCTTTGAAGATTTCTCTCAGCAATGGTTGTTGCCGCATTAAATGTCACCTGCTCATAAAGATTTCGTTACGGTTTTAAGCTGTTGGGTAGTATTGTGTTACACAGGGCAAGATCCTATCAGTTATTTTTCCCTGTTGGAGGAAGGCCCGTTTACGTCCTTCAAATTTCACCTCAGAGGGCGGGTTGTCAATAAAAAAATTCGGGTAGCCTCTCCCTGCCAGATATGTTTTGAACTGTGTGATATTCTCTTCAGATTTTTCTATTGAAGCCTTTCTTTGCTCCCGATTGGTGACGAGTTGTGTAGAAGGTGTACTAGAATCCCTCTGTTGGTTTAAGGTGGATTCTCATGTCGAGAAGATATTTCAGCCATAAATTTAATTGTTGGGTGGTGTTCATTTGCTTGTTCAACAATGAACTAGTTAACAACACCTCTGCTAGTGTGCAAGAGAGATTCTGTCGTCGATGTAGAGTTTCCAAACGAGCGGTTTGTTAGCGCTTTTATCTAGGATTTGCATTTCATTTAAGCCATAACGATTTTTACAAAAATTAGTGCCATTTGAATGTGTAGTTGATGAAGTCTGCTGCATCTTTGAGATATGACTTCAGCTGTTGTACGATTGGCTGAAGAATTTCATCTATGTACCAGGAAAGCTTTTCTGTCGGTCCTCCCATGAATGGATTTTCTGTGTCTATAAACACACCGGAGAACAACCGTTTTAAGCCGGCTAAATATGCCTTAAGCAAGTCTTTGCCGTTCTCATTAATGAGAAGACATTATCAATATTGTAAAGGCTGTAATTTGTTCGGCAGTTTAGAAAGGGCAGTGAACTAGAGCAACTTGGGTTTCACAAGGCGGGATCGGGATGAAAATGTTCGTCGCAGTGGGATGGCGGAATGGTATGAAAAATAGCGGCGGGATGCGGGATCGGAAAACTATATTTCGGACCCTCATTTATCGGGATATGAAAGGTTCGCATTTGACTTTTTGTATCATTTTTAAGCGAAAATGTGTTTTTTCCGCTCCTTAACTCACAACGCACACGCCGAACAACTTCAATTATCGGGTTAGGTTGAGCACGATATCATGAATTATCAATGCCGAGGTCTGAGTTATCTACTGAAGCCGAAGGCTGAGGTTGGTAACACAGATACGAGGTTTGATAAGTCATGACATAAAAAACCAAATTCAATAATTATATCATTATACACTATTTAAACAATCTGCAAAAGAACACTTTTCTGAGGGTCTCAACGACCGATAGCCGTAAAACGGCCGACAAATTTAGCCATTAGGCGTAAAATTTACAAGTTTTAACCAATAGTCGTAAAAAAATTCTGATGATAATGATGGAATGATATTAACCGTTAACCGTTCAATGGCCAAAATTTTAACCTTAAGCCGTAAAAGTCATCACCCCTTTAAGACCCTAACTTCTCTCTGAATTTGCAAAAGTTTGAGAGCATTAAACGGCAAGGGGCTTGGAAACTTTGAACTCGACATGATTATCAGTCTCGATAAATCAGAGTTTTCATTGTAAGTCTAATGTACAATAAACAATTATTCCACGAGCGCGAGTTGGCTAAACCAATGAAAACTCTTGAATTGCATTGTTCAATGATTCAGTTCTTAATAATAATTATATACATTAGTATTACTTTGAAAACTCTGATTGGTCAAGAACATTCAGTCAATGAAGAGTCCCCCTTAAACCAACTCGCCCTTACTTTTCTATTGCCTTTTAAATAGAGTTCATTTCTGCCTAGGCCTTCTCGTATTCGGTTATTAATCCGCAGTTTACATATATGACTTTGTTAGATTCATAATCATTTAAAAGGTATAATTGTCTGGGAATAGTTAAAAAATGAAGTTTTAGATATAAATAGCCATTTGAAATGAGGGAACGGAAGGGAAATTTTGCAGTTCAATTAAATTAGACTTAAGGGGCGTTTTAATCAAAAGCATGTTTTTTTAATTTAAACCCCATTCACACGGAAGCTTGAAGACGTGTTGTTAAAAACGGTTGAAAATTGTTTTCATCATAAAAGCTGCTTAAACCAATGTTTGTCAACTTTAAATTAAGCAAATTGAAAATAAAAGCTAGTGTCTGCTTGAAACTTAAGGAAAATTCAGTTCTTCAGTTCTCTGTTTCTGAATTTCATTTAGTTCAACCCAGTTTTACGAAACACTTTTTGCTGCTGTGAAGAATTGGAGTACTAGTTGTTTTCATCTCCTTTATTGTCACTCTTCAAATTCTCGCGCCTTGACTCAGTTCAGAGAGCCCAGAAAAAGACCCTTCCTAAAGTCAGTTTCTTTTTGTTGTTCATATCAGTGATTCACTTTGTCTTCCAGGAGGAACTGTAAGTAACATTTGAAAATCAATGGATATTCGACATACACCGATCATTTTTCCTCTCTATCTATAAGTTGTAAAAGTTTTCCCTCTTTCTCTTTGCAATCAACATTATCGTTCCAAAAAGTCTTGAATATATCTTTATAAAATTTGGGTTGAACACATTCATTATGAAGAGCATCACATATGTCACAGGCTGTATGTGTTAATCCCAAGATCCCTGTATAAACGAATTCTCTTTTCCATGTGAAATATTCATTATAAGCAGTGTCATTTTTGTCAAGGTATAACAGGTATTCTGCCAAAGCCTTAACAGATGGAAAGTCTTGCACACTTATAAACGAGCCTGGAGGGACTACATCTGGTGTGTAGAAATCTCTTGTTAGTGTTATAGGCACTGAATTCCAACCAAGTGTACGCCAAAATTTCTCAGTAATGTAATCAGTACAAACGCTGTTTTCAAATGCCAGATAAAATTTATATGAGCTGAAAATATCATCGCAATTGCTTGATGGCTGGCATTGATTGTCTTGGCCAAAGTTTTCCGAACAGTCGCCATAAACATCAACTTTAATGTATTTGAGAAGTTTTTTTACGTACTTATCTCGAGTTCTTCCACAATTGGAAACAGCCCATAACACAAATTTGTTTTTCTCAGCTGCATAGTCAGGAATTCTCGCTGGTCTCTTAGCTGATGGCAAAGAAACATAATTTCCATAAGGATAGGGAAAATCTGACTCCCTTTTGAAAGTTATAGTCCAATTAAAGAACCCCTCCGGCAAGGAAAGACGGTTCTTTAAATCTGGGTCATTGACAATGGATTCTTGGTTTAAAAACGCCAGTCTTTGCTGTGGACACCGGTAATTGTGAATCTGTTGAATTTCTTTCGTTCTTACATAACTTGGCATATCACGAGCATGAAAAATAACTAGATCACTTTTTCCTATATCGTAGATATCATAGGTTATGTTACATTTTTTGGTCGGACATTTCAAAAGATACTCTTTCGTGGAAGTGGTTCCGGGCCATGGCTTGCTACCAAACATAGGAGTGTAGAACAAAATGGTTTTGGTGGCATTACTGAAGCAAGATCGATCGGAAGCGATTTCTGTCCTGTTGCTGCAAAACCAAGGCTCGAATAATATATAGCTTGTTTCATTCCGAAGTACTATAATTGAGAAAAACGATAAAAGTAGAAACATGCCCACCAGTAGAGTCGAACGCTTCCTGTAGCAAAGTGGTAGTATTTTTCCACTGATTCTTGCTATGCCCATTGCCAAAAGATCTAATAGCAAAACACAGACTTGCTCGGGTGGATTTTGCTGTTCACTTTGTAGGCTTTTGGATGGCACGTCTAGGTCTGTCACGAGACTGAAAGACAAAAAAACCATTTCGGTGGATAGTTTTCATGAGTGCGTCAACGTAAATGACTGAAAAGCTCTCTTGGAAACATTTAGGCGCTTGGAATTTGTTTAAAGACAAAACTGGTATCAGCAAGAATTTTATGTATTTGCCATTCTAGCTTACATAAGTTTAGGAATATGAATGGAAATAATATGTAAGTTAGTTAGAACCTTGTTTTATGCTATATTGTGATGGCTAAAAACACAGAAATCCAAAATTAACAAAACTACATATTTTTATGCGTTTTATGGGTGTTCACATCGCAAATTGTCAGGTTTTGGTTTCAACAACTTGCGCATCGTTAAGGGTGTAATCGCATTTTTTCTCCAAGCTCTGGCATAATTAAGACAATTTAATAATTTAAACTTTTCGTCAAAGAATTCTTGAGCTTGGATTAATTTGGACTGGCTTCGAGTAGTTGTAAATAGGACGCTTTCATAAAAAACACCAATCAAGTGCTCTAAATTGGCAGAAGTTATAATTGTTTGCTTAAGGGTCAAACAACCATTGGACATAATAAGATTAAAATCCATCGCATTCTGTTAGTGTGAAAGAGATTCGTTGGAAGCGCATTATTCGAGCTAATTTTAACCTTTTACCACAGGGATTTGATATGGAGGTTCTAACACCCCAGGGATAAGTCGGGAGCCTGATGGATTCTTGAATAACTTAGTGACCCTCACAAACTGTGAAAGTTTGAAAAGACATCGGCGTGATAGCATGTGTTACGCCTGCCTGGTGTGCAACACGTGATTAATAGCCAACACTTCCTCACGCGTAATCAAACAATTAAATATTTAGAGCTAATGGCTCTTAAACTACGCAAATGTTTAATGTAAAGGTTTTACCAGAGGTTCATACTAAACAGGGTAAAAGCCGTGAACGGTTTTCAAAGTTTTTCAAACATGTTCGGCCGTCGATCGATCGATGGACTTTGTTGCTCAACGAGTGCAACATATGAATAATAAGTAACACTTCCTCACGCGTTATCAAACAAATATCTATTTAGAGTAAATAGCTCTTTGATCACACGTGTTTACCAGAAAGGTTTTCAGAAGGTTCATACTCTACAGGGTAAAAGCCGGGGATGGTTTTCAAAGTTTTTTTCAAACAGATCGGCCGTCGATCGTTCAACAGACACTGTTCGACCTTGTTGTTTACCATTTGCCATGCACATCAGAGATTCCTCGCATTCAGCCATCTCTAGATCTAATGATTCATGTAGTTTACGGTAGCAAGGTGATCGAAAGCGCTGCACAACAACACGACATGTTGTGTAATCCGACACGTTACTCTTGCTCCAAACAAGAGTTAGCGTGTTTACAAGCGTGAATGAGTTGAAGCTCGAAGCAGAAGCAATTCGGTATAGCATTGGAGTGAACACAAGTATGAAGTAAGATAGGGTACTGGAACTTAGTAGACTTCGGAAATGATTTATTACCAATTCGCGCGCTGACTCGAAGTTAATGTTTGACTCTTAACTGAAAAATACCACATGTAAGTAACGAATGCACGTTCAAAGTAAGTATTTTCATAGCAGTGCTTTCAGTAGAACTCATTCAAAATAAGATTTTATAGGGTTAGCCCATTTTAGGGTACTCCATCACCTACAAAAGAAGGTAACCAAACTGCGTAGCTATCTTTCTTTTCGGTCATCGAGCCCTGTAGACGACTGGGCAGGCCAAATCAAGCAAAGCGAAACCGGCACCACGAAGCGAAACGAAGCCGACATAAAACATGATTGCAACAACAACCGTCGCTCGCTTTCGTGAGTTTTGTTCCATATGACAGACCTTTCAAGTGACTTCGAACGCTCTTCTACCCATCGCATCTCAAGTCAAAGAATAAAAGATGTTAAATCTTACCCTCGGTATAGAATGAAGATGTTTTTGTGTCATGTCACAAATGAATAAATGGAATAAATTTCTAAAGAAACTATGGTGCTGCGCTGGTGGCCTGGCGGTGTAGCAAGATAATTTTGGTTCTGTCAACTGAGTTATAATGTAAATAAGTCAATGTAAAGAGATATTGAGGCTGACTTTTCGAGGAGCAGCCCTTCTTCAGAGCGAATGAAGAGGGGCTCACGCTGGAAACGTCAGCTTTAGAGTCAGGGTATCCTTGGGGAAATGAGGACTCGTCAGACATGCATGCTAATTCACGAAAGGTAGATGAAATTAATATGTTTGACTTAACAAATTCTTTTACCTTGGAGAAGGTAGTGAAGACTTCAAAGTAAACTCTTCAATATATTCTGCGTCATTATCATGGACACTACAAAGTCACGCGACACTGAAACTAATCCTACTCATCGCAGGAATCGAACTGATTTAGCATAAGGACAAAAGACAAGGCGACGCGGCTGCTTGACAGTTTTCGACGACCGGAGTACTGGAATCTTCGTGACGTCATCTTATTTTGAAACTTATGGAAAATTTAATTCTTCAGTTCTGTGTTTCTTAATTTTTTCGGTGGCCCACAACTGTCACGGCAAAAGAAATAACCTCACGGCAAAAGGAAGGACCTCGCAGCAAAAGAAAAAGACTCACGGCAAATGGAAGAACCTCACGGCAAAATGAAAAACCTCGCGGCAAAAAGGAAGAACCTCACGGCAAAAGAAAAACCTCACGGCAAAAAGGAAGAACCTCACGGCAAAAGAACAAACCTCACGGCAAGAAGGAAAAGACTCACGGCAAAAGAACAAACCTCCTTTGTTATCTGACTACTTACTACGTAGCTACGTTACTCTTCCGTAGAGTTGGCTCCAGGCCATGGCTTGCTACCAAACATAGGAGTGTAGAACAAAATGGTTTTGGTGGCA